TACTATGCGTTTTGTTCAAATTAGATTAAGTTAGAGTACCAAGTATAGAGATGAGGATGATCTTTGCCATTGATTATCTACACTTTCAGATCGGTATCGACCCTCCTCGTGGAGTTCTTATGTATGGCCCTCCTGGTTGCGGAAAGACTATGCTTGCTAAAGCTGTAGCGGCCAACACGGCAGCATCGTTCATCAGAGTTGTCGGCTCAGAGTTCGTGCAGAAATATCTGGGAGAAGGTAATTTGACTAAATTTCGACTTGGAAGTAGTATTGACTGCAACGATTTAGGTCCAAGGATGGTTCGTGACGTGTTCCGCCTTGCAAAAGAAAACTCACCTTCAATCATATTTATTGACGAGATTGATGCCATAGCCACAAAACGATTTGATGCGCAAACAGGAGCGGACAGAGAAGTAAAATTGTCTAGATCGAGAATCCTGCCGTTATAATGATAAATTCAGGTCCAACGTATCCTTCTGGAACTTCTGAATCAAATGGATGGATTTGACCAAAGTACCAATGTGAAGGTGGGACTGTGCATTTAAGTATCAGGATCAAAAGCCTAGTTTTTTTTTACAATAATATAATTTTGTAGAGAATTCATCAGTACGATGGTGACAATATTACTTTCAGGTTATTATGGCCACAAACAGGCACGACACCCTGGATCCTGCTTTGCTCCGACCAGGTCGATTGGACAGAAAGATCGAATTTCCTCTACCCGACAGGTAAGTCGACTTGCTCCTTTGTAATAAAGATTTGAGGCGATGAGACAAGTGGTTTTAGGCGCCAAAAGCGTCTTGTCTTCTCTACCATAACATCGAAGATGAACTTATCAGATGATGTTGATCTCGAAGATTACGTTGCCAGGCCTGACAAAATTTCTGGCGCTGATATTAATGCAATTTGCCAAGAGGTATCTTTATCTTGTATTGGTTTACTTGGTTGAACACGCACACGGTAACAAATTTTAGGCTGGCATGCACGCTGTCAGAGAAAAT